ATAGGCGCACCTAAAAACCCGCTTTTACCCCTCTGGCTGGCTCTAAATTTAGCGTAGGTGGGCGGCCACGACCGTTTGCCAAGCAGCAACAGGACTTCGGGCATAGGGTGCAGCTGTCTCGTAGACGGTGAAATAATGCGTCTCTCCTTGACGATATTGGCAATATTCCTGCGATTCTGTTGCCTCGATTCGCCGAACCGATATTTTCATTCCCGACCTTTCTGTCTTTCGCGGTTCGTTTCTAAATGTCGATCGGGACACGAGGATTTCAGTTTCCTCTGCCCACGTATACATACATATCTGGTCATCTACCTCCGTCCAACGGTTTTCCTGTTCGCCTCCTCGTAATACACTACCGTTCAAAAGTATCCGCACATTGCTTATTTTTGATAAGATATATTTTATTCACAAAATTACAGTAATTGCATTCTTTATAATAATTACAGTTGTGTGTAATATTTTTATTAATAATAGAATATTGTTTTGCGTTTTTTAAAAGACAATATGCAAAATAACACTGTCTTTAATGTTGTCAAATCTTGTGGAACGATTTTGTTACTTGGCAAACTCTTTATTTTTAGATTCTTTAATTTCTGAAGCTAGATTAAAAAACCTGTTCTAACCTGATTTGTTAATTTAAACAGTAAATGTATGTGATATATAAAAAAAAACAAGAGACATATGTTATTCCCATGTGTTCCAATAAGTAACTTAACTCTATAGTCAGTTGATTGCAAGGGTTGCATTTAGGTATCAACTTGTTATCTCGAATCATCTGTTACTCAAAAATACAATATCTATATTCTTATAAACATTATTTTATTTGTTACAGAATTTATTTTGAGAGACCTCTTGCAGAATAATGTATTAACTAACAATTTGTTTTACTACTAAATTTGTTCCTATATTTTATGAAGCAATTTTCTGATACTCATATCTTACATTTTGTGACATTTAAATTCTTGCTAATAATATTAATTCAATTGTGCAAACAGGCCTATAAAATCCTAGGAACGAAATTATTATATCTAAGCGGTTAGAAATCTCAGTAAAACGAATTAACTTGCGCAATTCATCATTAATTTGCACGCTTTGATTAAATTCAAATATGGTTACCACAATTCAACTAAAGTGTCCGGATATTTGTGAACGATAGTGTATGTCGTATGTAGTTTCTGCGTCTCGCGGCTTCTACATAGCTCTACATAGCTCTGAATCCTGTCGGTCGGTTTCGTAACATCGCACCCGGATACACGACGTATCCTGCTTTTTCAGTCGACGCGTTCTCGTCTATTTCTATGCTTCATAGATCACTCTAATCGTATTGCTGCGTATTATGTATATCGTAAGTCGTAATTCTCATGTGGCCTTACTTCGTTACTCGTATGCCTGACTACGACATGGCTATCACATATTTTGTAAGCTGCGCCATATCTAACAATCAAAAGCGATAAATTTCAACCGCTGTCGAAAGATTTGTTAAAGTTTGCAAACGTCAAATTCAACAATACGGAACGTAGAGTAAACTAGTAGAATTGAAGAAACTCACAAAGACATATTGGATTTGATTGATTATTTTTGAAGTTGAAACAATCAAGCGCACTTAAGATATAGTATAAGCAAACGATTCTTGTTATACATACTTAAATTATTACTCGTATTTTTAAACATTCTGTCTCGCAAGTTATTCTAAATAATGTGATCAAGAGATTATTTAGTAAGATTTATGTGCTATGTGCTATGTACGACTGTTATTCAGTGGGGAATAAAATAACAATATATAGACGTAATATCATGTCTAATAAAACGACATAGTTTCAATTCTAGTCTATTACGTTGTTAAACAATGACACGCTCTATTGATTATATAACTTCATGATGAGAGATTTCTTTCCAAAACGAACACTAATCTTCAGTAATTAAGAATAATATTCATATTGAAAGGAAACATTGATGGGCTTTGAAAACGTTGTTTCAAATTGTCTCAAACTACAACAGAAATCAACATCCAATATTTAAAAAAACGTAATACGTATTCAGTCGTTAAATATATCACGTTTGGTTAATTCCTGGAACAGCAAGTTCAACGGACAAAAGATATACAAAATCGTTGTAACAACTTCTACGCAATGATTGGTGCATTCAAGCAGCTTTCATAAATATTTTTATTAAAAAAAGAAATCTATCTATATAAAAGTACTGTACACAATATGGTTATACAATGTTTTGATATTACCATTTCATTTATCCAAATATTGATCAAAATTATTATTATTATACATAAATCATTATACATATTCAAGGTTCTTCCCACCTAACAGTGCTAACATATTCTACGATTAAAAATACAGAAAAAGTTTGTATAATCTTCTAAAATGCTAATGTTAAATATAATCCTCTGCTGGTCAGTGTAATAGCCAGTTCAAAATAAAACGGTAAAATAAAAAGAAAAACATAACATGTACTTAACTGCATGCATTATTGTATTTCAGGATACTCTTGTACACGCATTACCGTCGGATAGGCCTGGATTTGCAAAGGGCTTCCGTAAGAATATCGGGGGACGCTGGCGTCGCTTAGTGAAAAGGAAGCCGGAGACGGAGACTTGTGCCATTCCTCCTGAACTGAAGGATCAACTAAAAACAATTTACGTCTATTGACGATCAGCGTTAATGCGCCGTTGTCTATATTTTTACAAACCTTCCTCGGTAATCGATGCTTTCCTCTATGTAAGATAATAATTATATCAAGAAAGATAGAGATGACACGAGTTATGAAGGCAAAAGGAAACGAACGCGCAATGGGATAGTTCATAAAAAAAAAAGACAAGTGAAAAATGTATTCATTTATGTAAGTGAAAACGTTTAGTGAGAAATTTCGAAAGGAATTGTAAAACAAAACAGAAATTTATTGTTCATAGCCCTCGCAAAACATATCAAAAAGTGCCTAAAGATGCGTTTTCGGACACATTAAAGATATACATAGGTATAGAAACAGAATGACCCTCTTCTGATGTTGAATATTTCTGTGTAAAACAGGATTGGGATAATGATAGCCTGAATTATAATTGCATAAAATAATGTTAGCAATATTTACAGAGATATATAGAGAGAAAAAAATTCTATTATCGTAGGTTTTGTGGTGTTTTATCGTTGGGTATTTTAATAAGATGCCATGAATCGAAACGAAGGAAAAGTTTGAAACAACTGTCCCGCGTATTTAATTGCTCGGCTATGCGAAAGATTAAAAAATCACTGGGCTTTGACACATAGGACAATGGCGTCAAGAACTCTATGAGACTGAACGTAAAGAGTACGACAACACGAGTTACCTCGTAGCTTTTCTTGAATACGTTTTTTCATGAATAATGCAACAAATTCATTTCAAATCACTAGTATTAACGTATACCTGAAATTTTATAACCTTCAGACTTGCCAAAACTTTTTCTTCTACATCCTATTTGGCAGCTCTGTTGTTACATGTAAATAGATGTATAAAGCAGTGAAAGTATGAAACTACTTTTAATTCTTATAATGGCCGATCGTTGAAGTAAGAACCTGCAATTTCCTTCGTACATACAATTTGAGGAGTTTAATATGTTACACAGGAAAAGAACAGGGTATGAAAGAATGCTAGTAAAAGAAGTTACACCCAATCAGAATTATTCCCTGATCTTCAAAAATGGGAGTTACGTAGCATTTTGTTGTATACTTGTAACATAGGCCAATTTAAGATTCTTAATATCATTCGACAGCTCATATTGAGCTCAAACTATATACTAATATGGTATTTTAATTGTATTGTTGTATCAAGCAATACTTTGTCTCTGGAACATGGTCAAATTTTAATCGATAATAATTTAAACAAACAAAAGAATTCTATGTATAACGTCGTGCCACGCTTTAAATTTTAGCTATTTGACTTTATGTTGGATGTATTTTCTGCACTTGCAGTTTTATGCAGTAAAATTGATAATTTATAATTCTGAGTGAAGCAGACAGAAATAATATATTGTAAACATTTAAAAGAAAGGAAAAAATGCATTGCTTTCCAGTAAGCGCCAACGTTCCTTTACGGCTCGACCTTTTAATTCCTTATCGTAACTTTTTAGAATGTAAATAATATTATTGCATTGTTTGTTTATCATGAATGTGATGGCATAATGTTTGAACGTGATGCGGATAGTTTAAGAATCAATAACGTGCCTACGATTTTTATAAACGATGAAATACTGATGGAGCTGCATCCGTCACCTAGTCACTTGATAATTATTATTCAAAACTTGTATTGTAAACTTTTTGCCGCAGCTTGGATCTTTCCTCGTGAAAATCTGTCTGAATACAACAATATCAAATAAAGTATTCTAAAAGATATAATGCGTGTATACTTAATTACATCACCTAAATCATTGCAATCGTTATTTAACTATGGACGTATTTTAATAATCTGCTTCCTTTCCTCATTTCCAAAAACAAAAAAAGAACTGAGTATGAATTCGATTATTATGGCTGCTTTTAGGTTTCCCAATGACAGATAAGAAATAGATAACAGATCGATATCGAAATAGATATATTTCTAATATGCGATACTTTTTCTTCAAATGTGAATATAAAAAAGAAGACAGAAATGTAGTATCAGATTTCTTTCTAATAGTATTAAAATATAACTAAATCAATATCTGTCTTTTAATTGGTATAAGGCATTATACATGTAAATCATTCTGTACAGTGTATTTTACGGTAAAAATCAATATTCTACAGAAGAATCGTATTCAACAGTATAAAACGAATAAAAGATGACTTATACGAATACTAAAGCTTTAGAAAGAATATGTAACTCAACAATATTTTAGAAATTATATTTATTTGACAACATGTCCTATTGTATTTAAGGAAATATTTTATTATAAATATTATAATTTATGATATTACTATTTACTATGCTGATAGAATAATAAATACAGTATAATATCTGCATTTAAAACATTGCATTTATACACATCTTATTTTGAAGCATATACATATATATGGCTGATTAAACATTTACTGTCCTCATGTGATTATAGCACGTGATCATTACTAAAAAGATTTTAATAATTTCTTTGTTCACAGGAGTAGAATTCGATAAATGTATAATACAACAGTAATATTACGAAGAAGTAAGTGATACGTTGTATGATACAGTAATATCGTCAGTCTAATTTTTTCATACTTGTAGTATATTGATTTATACAAATAGAGGTTATGTTTCACTTTATTATATTACTTTTTTTAATGGTATTACCAAATTCATTCATGGTTATAAATACAATATTTTGATTATTAATTAAAAAATTATTTTCTATATATAATATAAAAATGATGTTTTGCTTTAAACTATACATACAATTGTAATTGTAGGCTACAGGAACACATTCTTAGTATCAAAAATGTGTACTGCAATACAAAATAATTCTGTAGAATCTTCTATAAAAAAAAAATTGATAGATTCTTTAAATCCATCTTATATTGAAATTATAAATGAGTCGTATATGCACAATGTTCCTAAAGGATCTGAAACACACTTTAAAATAATTGCTGTTTCTGACAAGTTCAAAGATGTACCATTAATTAAGGTGAGAATTTTAAATGTAATAAAATTTTCAGTTAAATATTTAAAATACGAGATTTTTAATTTTATCATTAGGCTAATACGTTTATTTTCATAAACTATATTTTTAAAATGACAAGAACTGTGCATTATCACTTTTTATGTATCATTACTGTATACTGCATACTAAAAGTTTAATTTTATCGATTTAGCGCCACCGAATGATAAATGAGTTATTGCAATCAGAGTTAGAAGGTAGCGTGCATGCATTATCAATTATAGTACGTATTATTATAAAAATATTTTAATATAATATAATAAGTTTAATATGGTAAAATTTGAATATACGTAAATGTTTACCATTTATTTACAAAGGCCAAAACACCTGATCAATGGAAAGAGAAAAGTACTATAACTCCAAGTCCAGCTTGTAGAGGGGGTTTTGGAAAATGAACTTCTGAAGTTTAAAGATCGCATATTTATATTAGAAAGGATATCTACTTATACCAATATTCGAACTTCAAATCGCGCACACGTAATATCTCCGTATTAGATGTGTTTCCTGAGGTTCTAATTTATATGATAATTGTATGCAATTAAGGAAGTTAAAGTAAGATAAATGTAAGCTTTAAAATTCATACTAATGTAATTATTAAAAATACTTAGTCAGAACTGAAAGTAATTAAAAAAAAAGTTACATTAATGTCATAAAGCAAAAGTATCCAGTCTTAATTTTCCCTCATTTTCAGTGAAATAAAGTATATCAGCCATGGATTGTTCTGCTATTGCTTCTTCTGCCCTATCATGCATCTACAAAATATAAACGATTCATGAAAAATAGTTCTAAAAAACGTATACCCTAATTTTTATTGTTTTATTTTGTTTTTATCAATATAGTACATACCCCTCTAAACGTAATATCTCCAGGAGGACATTTAAAATTGGGTCCAAAATTAACAGAAACCGTAGCACTTTTATGAATAGAAACTGTGGGATAGTAAGCTCCTTTATTGACATCAATGAATGCTTCACCTTGATTTACTCCATTTTTGTAAAATATAATTTTGCTTCCTTCTAATGGTTTAAGAGCCTTAAGTGCTTCAGGTACTTGATCTTTTTCTTCATAATACAGATGACTTTTAAATTTTACTAAGGGCTAATTTATAATCAATTAATTTATAAAACGCGTATGTAAATATAATAAACAAACTTACATTTAGTCCTTACCCGATCCTTGTAAGTGTTTGGTAAATGTGAAGCATCGTGTGTATCAGGTAAAATTACCAGAAATCCTAATGTATCTCCTTCTCCATAACCATTACTGTAATGTTTACCTTTACTTTCATGAAATCGTGTACCTTTTCTATCAATAATTATAATCATGTATTTATTTTTTGAATAACAAATACCATTCTATATTGAAGTTGTTTTATTAGATCATACCTAGATCTCCAAGAATATCCAAATTTATCATAACCAAGCGGAGCTTGTAAATTAGCATATTCTTGACCCCACCCTAACCTTGTAGCTGATCCTTCTGGCATTTCTTCAATAGTTGCTTCCCAGTACCATGTACCTCTACTTACATCTAAAGAGTAAGTAAACAATGTGTGTAATATATAAAATACAGAATACCAAATGATTTAATGTATACTTATTGATGCAATTAATGGACATTTGATATAGTAGATCATGATTTTGACATACTATGAGTTGCTCTGACCATGCAATAGCCTTTTTCTCCAGTTACTGCTAGCCTGTCTTCTGAAATCCTAAGCTGTGGTGCTCGATCATGCAAAGCAAGTAAAACTGTACTTGGACTCAAGGCTCTGTACAGCCAACCAGGAATAGGTTTTCCAGCCCAATCGCTACTTTCATCAAATTCCTGTTAAATAATGTTGATAAATTTCATAATATACTAACATTGTAAAATATACACTATGATGGCACACCTGTCTGAAGGGAGCATGAGGGTCAGGTTCAGCGAGGATATATCGATAACCATCCTTATTGAAAGGATGCTCAAGAGGATATCCATGAGCAGGTAATTTAGGGGCTGTCATATCAGAACCTCTACCTTTTTTGCCAGGTCCTGTACCTGTTCCTTCTCCAGGAAACTTACGTTTTGCATTGCGACCACGAAAACCTCCACTAAGTGGTACTGTATATGCCATAGTTATGTTTATTAATCGCTTAATAACTTTCAATGTTCAATGTATCATTATTAAATATATAAAACTGCATAAAAAGATAAGATAAAATAAGATTACATATGATTTCAACTATTCAATTTTTTCTTAATGAAACTAACGTTTCAAAATACAACAATCTTTTAATATATATTAAGAACACAAAAATCACAATGTAAAATTTACTAAGTAGCTTAACCTATTCAAGTCATAGATATTCTGCAATTAAGCAGGTTGTTGTATGATATCATGGGACTGATTAATATCTTGATAAGATAAGAAGTAACTAAAACAAAAAAGAGAAAAACTAACTATTAAGAATTTACTGATAAAACAGATATTAATACATTACTAGAAATCAAATATGCAGCAATCTAATAAACATAATAGTAATTATAATATTAAATAAATTTATTAATATAGCTATATTTTCTGGTATGTATATTTTCTAGTATATAACCCATAACTGATAATTAAACTTACCAACATGTTGAACACCCATTTCAGTTACTTTCAAATGACCACCTTTAATCATTGCTTCATAATTTGGCTTAATCATTTGGAGATCTGAACATATAAGTCCGAATAACTGACCATCTGAACTGTTTTCATCAATAGTGAATAATGTTCCAACATCTTTCAGCAATGCTCTGTGTATCTATGTTATATACATTAAAGTATTAGTCATTTTCATTTTTGTATATAAAATAAATTCTAAATAATTTTAAGGAATGTATAATAGTAAATTTTCATCTCATTTATAGTCAATCACAACAGTAAATAAAGTATTTATTTTTATACTTATATTCAAATAATTAAATTATTTAGTTGTAGATTTGACTTACTGTTGCATGCCAAGATTGAGTTACTCTACGTGGCATTGTGGTCATGCTGTCCCAATGACATTCAATGAAAGGAATAATATCTTTATCTTTATGAAAAAATATTTTTTGTTCATTTTCTTTTTGCGACATTTGTAGTAAATTTGCTATTGCTGTTACACACATTTGTGGAAATGCTAGAAAGATCATATTCTTTTAAGTGTTTAAGCTTTAACTCAGATATCAAATTATGTATCATAAAATATGGTTAATATTCAAATGTATTCATACGTGCTTGGTTTTTCTTGAAACTCTCTAAACCAGTTGGGGAACAATTCTTGCACATAAATATATAATTCATCATAAAGGGTACCAATTTACCCAGTTGATAACCAATGCAAGATTCATGAAACCATCTTGAACAACTAGCACATAATAGCTCTATAATGTTAAGATTTCTTTCCTTTGCACTAAAAGATTATAATCTTGTAAATCATTAATACTTGTTTTTTTTATATAATCTACTTTAACATAAACTTTAATAAATTACCAATAACAATTTCCAGCTTCATTGTTACTCGTTCGACCATTAGGTTTCTCAGTGTTTTCTTCTGGTTTATTTTTTTGTTTACTTTTATCATCGCTCTTTGATTTTAACTTGTCATCAATGGATTCAAGTTGTGCTCCTTCTACTTTATCGATTGGACTACAAAAGATACGTCTGTATATAACTTAAAAACAGTTATAACCTCATTCAGTTCATAACCTCAAAAATATTTATTTTATCATGAGGACTTTAACTAAATATTTCTAAATTGAACCAAGCTTACAGGAAATCTATTATTAATGTTACAAACTTATTGTTTAAATAATTCTAGTAGGCATTATACGTATATGAATATGAATGCTTTATAGATACCTTTCAGACTTTTCTTCTGACATTTTTTAAATTTATGTGTTTCTGTTACTTTTGAATTATTTCTATTTTGCTTTATTTTAAAGTTCTCAGCGTAACAATATACAACAATACGTGCAGTATACGATATATACATACACAATTGTACATACTTTCTTCAGTTTACTTTTTGTTTGTCGATAGAAGTTTTTAAAACTCGCTTCATAACCTGTATGTCGATTGTTCACTACCATTGATTGGATACTATGGAGATTATCACGCTATCTTATTTGGAAAATGTAAATAGTAAATATAGACGATAAAAGTTATATAAATGATAAATATTATTATTTATGTTCTACTTTTATTAGGACATAGACATATATTTATACAAAATTAAAATTTCATTTAACGTAAGTAAAATATGTAATTATTGCATCTAATACGAAGCTTACACTATAAATTTTATAATTTATTATGTTACCTGTATTACATTAATAAATATAATATATTGTAATAATATAATATATTATAATAATTAATGTATATTAGAAAAATATATCAGTAACAAACATACACTTGTACTTCTATTATTAAATGGCAATATCAATATTTATATATATATACCATGTTTCAAAATTATTTCAGATTGTATTAATATATCTTGTGAGGAGTAAGAAAGAATTATTATACAATTCAGTTATTTGCTTCAGTTATTCAGTTTATTTGCTTTTAATTCAGAAAATGATATTTTCTCCGAATTTACAATTATATTTACATATAAATAAAAGTTTGGCTATATTTCATACTGTTTAGTGTTTTTACATGTTTGTCAATATTTTTTATTTTGTTTCGTTCTTTTCATTACAGTTATGTATAATAACATATTTTCTTTCATTTTCAGTTATTACATATATATAAACAGTTCCTTAAAAAGTTTAACTTTAAAAATGAAAAAAGATGTTTAATAATCTAATCTAATAAAAACATATAGAAACAAAGATTCCAGTGTAAAACTTGAGAGGAATAGAAGAAACGTAATAAAAAAATTGTGACTATGCGAAGTACTCTAACGAATATTGGAATCGACTTCGTGACTATTGCAATCAGAAAGATTCATCAATAAATGTACGATAAGTTAATCCTTTGATATTCGACGAAAGTTCTACCCACGAAAAGATGCAGTCATGTAATAAAATTTTCATAACAGTATAATTATGCAGATATTCCAAAACCAAAAGTGAAATATCAAAATAAAAAGTTTGGAGTACAAAGTTACATATCAAGAATAACGTAAAGTAAGCAAATTATGTACGCAATAGTAGCGGGAACCGAATAATTTAGTGAACTAGAAGTTGCTGTGACAGGGGTTAGATCTGTTTTGGCGCAGCGGTGTTCGATGTGGCGTCCTCTGGCGGTAAGCTCGGTTAGTAGAGCAGAAGAGATGGTGGGGAATAGAGTGTAGCAACGGAGCGTGCGTCTACGTCAGGAAAAGCTCTGAGCTTATTGGTCCCGGTCCATTGTTGCGTATTGATTGCTGCGGAGCGGTGGTATGGTCGTTGGGACACTCGGTCGTCCTCATCGCCGTCGTCGTCGTCGTCGTCGTCGGTGGTACAGTCGAGTAGGTTAAGAAAGCGGGACACGCGTACAGATAGATCAGTTTTCCGTGTCGTTGTGATCGAAAGCGCGTTTCGTCGCGTACGATCCATGGATCTGGGTTTACTATATAATATTTACACGTAAAATACAAGTATATATACATATTATATACGTATTTCTTCATATATACATATAATTACACGTACACCAAGAAACTATACACTTACACATATATGTGATACACGCGAACACTTGTAAGTATATACGCGCGCGCGCGCATAATTATATACATGTATAAAACCTATAACATAAATGATACCAATTAAAAATTATTTGCATATATGTATATCTATATAAATGTAGACACGTACACGCGCGCGCCTACATACACATACTACGTATACATAAACATTTACTTATAAGTATATACACGTACATACGCGCGCGCGCGCGCGCATACATTCGCACTTACGCAGAGACACTTGTACATATGTCATGTATATGATTATACATATGTGATACAAATCAAATATACACATATATACAGGCTGATACGCACACATGTAATTAATATTGCACATACATATATACACATACAGATTAATTTAATACAAAAGATACACACGCGTTGAAATACAGTTAAACATCGAACCACACGCACGCACGTATGTGTATATACGTGGACGCACGCGTATGTATATATCATCGTAGTGGTGTCAGTGGGTTGTTTTCTTGTTTTCTGTTTCTCCCCCTTTCGAGATTGGAACTACCTGCAGCATCAGCGGTGGCGGCG